ATTATATTTCTCCATCCTCCTAGGTGTATTAATTTTTCCCTCATATGCTTTTTTCCCTCTCTGTCCCAGAAAGAAGAAGGAATCGAAACGAAGTGAGATGAGGGAAAATATCTATCAGGAAGTCCAATTAGTTCTGAAATGTTTCTCCAACATTTGCAAGCCCTGATACCGTACTGTAATACTGTCATGTGATATCCCATAGCAACACGCTCCTGTTTCAGCCTGCAGATGGCAATGTTATGCCATCTATCAAACATTATGACATTCTATGCTTCCTCTTGCCTTCTTCGTGTTCCTTTGGGTGGAAGATATAAAGAAATAAAGATTAAGAATAGCCTTCTGCAACCTGGCGCCCTCCAAATGTGCTGGGAGGTCCCAGCCAACATAACCTTCCTACGGCTTCTCTTCCCTTCTCTCTTCTCTTAAATTACAAGGATGAAGGGGGGGGGGGGAAACCTTTGGGATATTCCCCTCTGTTTTAGACTGTATGGTGAGATGCCCATCACCATTCATCTGAGACAACAGCAGTGCCACCCATAAATAGGGAAGCAGATATACCCATGGTGTTTTTGCTCCTAAGTAATCTGAAGGTTAGCTTTAGTACCATACTTAGAATAAAAAGGATTTTAAGATCATAAACCAGGACAATATTGTGCCATTTTAAACCTTATGAGACTGGGAAGAAGAAGCAGGTTGGAGGTGCGAAATGAAAAGTCAGCTATGCTATGACTGCAAAACAGAGGCACAGAGTAACTATACATCCTCTCATCTCTGGCTGCAAGATCTCTGGTTTAGTGCACCCTCCCGTGGCTTACTAAGAATTTTGCATCTTTTGGGGTGCTGTAATGGATTGATGTTTGACAGAGGTTTACTAGAAATAGGGCCTTTATAGTGATGGTGTGATCAGTCACAGCCCTTGCTTGTGCCAACAGTCTTCATGCTAAACGTGAACCATTGTCTTGCCTTAGGATCGTTTTTAGAGGGCAAGGTGTTTTCTTGCCCTTGACCTATTTATACTTTTACCCTTCACACTTTCTACAAGAAGCTGTTAGCTAATTTCAAATAAAAACTAGATGTAGAAAGAGGGCATCAGACCCAGAAATGATGCCAGACCAGAAATGTCTTTCACTGGTCATCAGAAGAAAGAAGCAAAACCAAGATAGTCAAGCAGTTACAGGCACATGTGCTTGCAAGTGGAAAAGTTGAAGAAGCGGGCAAATGAAAAACATCAGAATGTTGATATGGAGAAGCGAGGTGACGAATCAATAAGAAGGATGGGTCAGAGTATCAGGAGAGATTATATTGTATCCTAAAAATTTTTAAGGAGAGATCTACCCAGAAAATGTCATTGGCCTTTGAAAGTCTGGTTAGCCCATTGGTTCCTATTCACCCAAACCAGACCTGCCCAAAGTAATTGAAGATCAAGACTTCAGTGGATGGTGAGAGATAAGTAAGCTTATATTTAAAGTCCTCTAGAAAGATCTCAAACAA